TTCGGGGACGGTGGCGTGCGCTCGGGCGGTTCGCTGTACCTCGGTGCCTTCAGCGTGCTCTGCGGGCGCCGGTGACGCCTACAGATCGGGCGTCTTTTGTGCCGGCGGTATTCGTGCTGTTTTCACCTCTTGCTATTGAGTAGCAAAGTAATCCTGCCAAGTAACAATGCTGCGTTTTTGGCAGTAAGGCAGGATGCTTTGAATGTTTTTAAAAACCTCTGTTCTCGCCCTTGCTGAGCAGACTTCTCTGAACGTAAAATGGAATATGAACCAAAAGCTACAAAGGAAACTTAAGTACACAAAGACATTGGAAAAGGAAAAAAAACCCCAACACTATTTTCATCGTTATTATTACAACGTTACTCGTGTTGTATGGGGTTATCTCCTGCTGGGTTTGTCTTGCTGAATTCACTCAGTGAATTTTTCAGCATATCATTACGACCACCAGAGTTACTGCTAAGCAATGCGAATAGGAGATGGTGGAGAGGTAAGGTATTGCAGGAGGCCACAGGACATATTTCCTCACTACATTATGAAGTGGCTAGGCGTGGGTATTCTTTCTGCTGTCTTCCAGTGGAAGAGTGTTGTCATTTAACCCCAGCTGGCAACTCAGCCTCACACAGCTGGTTGCTTGCTCCCCCCCCAGCCCCCCCAGTGGTGATGGGGGAGAGAATCAGGAGGTTAGAAGTGAGAAAACTCCTGGGTTGAGATAGAGACAGTTCAGTAGATAAAGCAAGGAATTCATTCCCTGCTTCCCACAGCGGGCAGGTGTTCAGCCATCTCCAGGAAAGCAGGGCTGCATCACACATAGCGGTGACTTGGGAAGACAAATGCCGTAACTCCAAACATCCCCCCCTTCCTCCTTCTTCCCCCGGCTTTACATGCTGAACGTGACATCATATGGTCTGGAATAGCCCTTTGGTCAGATCGTGTCAGCTGCCTTGGCCGTGTCCCCTCCCACCTTCTTGTGCACCCCCAGCCCACTTGCTGGTGGGGTGGGTGAGAAGCAGAAAAGGCCTTGACCCTGTGTGAACAGTGCTCAGCAGTAACTAAAACATCCCTGTGTTATGAACACTTTTCCAAAACAGAGCCCCATACTAGTTCCTGTGAAGAAAATTAACTCTATCCCAGCCAAAAGCAGCACATTCTCCACCCCTTATTCCATACCATTTACGTATGCTTAGATCCCACACTATCCAATACATCCTCATTAACAACCACCACCCCACTTCCCATCGTTTGATATAATACACAGATATTATTCCCTTTAGTCTATGCACCACCCCTGTATAATGTCCATAAAATGTCCACTGAGTTCCTTTAGTCCATGACTTTGGGCTCCATCTCTTATGGTGGTCACTCAGGATAGGAGAGGTGGTGGTGTGTGGAGTTGCTGGGCACCAAAGCCAGCTCAGGTTGGGTCACTGCTGCACTTGGATTGCTTCCATCAGTTCAGGTGGTTCCTGCTATAGTAGTTCCTGTAACACGCAGCTCGGATCATGGGTTGCAACAATTTAAAGGTATATCTCCTTACAATCTCCACTTCTGGTCCCTTTGGACCTGACCATCAGGTTTAACACTGCTGTGAACTCCTCCCCTTGCCCCTGCATTGGTTCGGACTTACTCACAGACTGCTGTCCCGTAGGGGCATACCTGCTCCAAGCAGAGTGTTATCTGTGAGCCACGGTCTTTTCAATGGCATACCTGCTGTGGCATAGACTTAACCACAGGCACAGATGCTTCGGGGTGTACCTGCTCCAGCCATGCACTTATCCTTGGGCCACAATCCCTTCAGCAGTATACCTGCTGTGGCACAGACAAAACTGTGGCCACAGATGCTTTGAGATGTACCTGCTCTGGCATGGACTTGTCCATGGCAACAGACACTTTGGGGTGTCCTGCTCCTGCGTGGATTCATCCACAGGTCACCGTCCCTTTGGCTCGAGCTCATGCTGGAGTTCCAGCCTGTCCAGTACAGCATCACAGAACAGCAGCGATGCCCTGGCCATCGGCCAGTCCAGGCTTGTGGCCACTGCTGTTATCAAAATGTTCCCAGGCACAACAAAAACATCCCTGTGTTACCAACAGTTTTCATCACAAACCCGAAACATAGGCCCATACTATCTACTGTGGAGAAAATTAACTCTATCCCAGCCAAAACCAGCATGCAGATAATGGCAAATTTGTCTGAATGCTTACATCTGTGTTTAAGTTGATATCTCTATCTCTGCAGCTGAGGGGAAGGAAGATTGATCTCATTAACTGTGTTTTATTAAATCTCATCATAAAGAGAAGAACTTGTTAAATTGAATAAAAACTTGTTTCAGGAAAGGAAGTCTAATTCTAACCTATCATTTTTGAGGGCTGTGTGAGGAAGACATGGGTGACTTATGCAGAGTCATAGCGTTGGTAATGATTATCTCTGTCTGCTTTGAACACTCTGGGATTACAGTAGGCAGGATTCAGTGGGTAAACAAACTGCTGTATGTTATTTTTGTTATTTAAATTTTGCAGGAAGGTATGTTACCTTCATTTGTTATCTGTACCTTCAGCAGAGAAGATGTTCTAGAATTTAGAAGACCGTCATGATTTCCTTACATATCCCAAGCTTTCCAAGCATTAGAGTATGAAGGATGACAGTGTGACATGATGCTTTTTGGGGGGAAGAAAAACCCTAAAACAGAAAGGACAAAAACCCCAAACCAAACAAACACCACCACAACCCACACATTTGTTGTGTGCTTGTCGTGGTTAATAAGCTAATAAATAGCTTTTTCCAATTAGTGCTATGACTATTGAGGCTGGATCATGAAGAAGAAATAAGTGTACTGCTTGAATCAGTTATAGTCTACTTAACTATTTGTCCTGGTTTCAGCTGGGACAGAGTTAATTTTCTTCCTAGTAGCTGATACAGTGCTGTGTTTTGGATTTAGTACCAGAAGAATGTTGATAACACCCTGATGTTTTAGTTGTTGCTGCGTAGTGCTTAGACTGGCCGAGGACTTTTCAGCGCTCAGCTCTGCCAGGGGCACAAGAAGCTGGGAGGGGGCACAGCTGGAACAGCTGACCCAAACTGACCAAAGGGCTATTCCAGACCATATGATGTCCTGCTCAGTATATAAGTTGGGGGAAAAAGGAAGGGGGGGACATTCGGAGTGATGGCGTCTGT